TAACAATAGCTTTCTGGTTACTGGGTCGGGCTGACAAATTATTCGAATATCAAGTCGAATATTAGAAAAGCAGTTTAGAAAATGAATATCTGGTAACACGTGACGTGGACATGCCACTTGCGGTTTTTTGACGACCACACGAGAAGACGCACATCACGTCGAAATTGAGTGGTACATTTGCGTTATAGTTTTTTTTCATTCATTTTCAGTAGCTATGATACTGTCACTGCCTTAATGTTTAAATCAGCATAATAGACGCCAATGTCGCGAAAATATCAAGTTTAAGTAGGCGTTTCGTAAAATTTGAAACACCAGTACAAGTATTCAATGAAGTAACATTACAAAGACTTATGGGCAAATATGCAGCATGCCATTGGGTCAATTTTATCAGAATTATTGACGGATACGCAATGACGACAATTCGGAAATCTTATTTAACCCAAACATTAGATGAAAAAAAAACATAAAAGGACAACGAATCCCGAGACCAATACCAAAGATATTGTTGACTTTTTATTTTACGTTGGCGATAAAGACGATCAGAGCAGACACGTAAGAGAACAATCAGAATGAAATTAATTTGCAAATTTAGGCTCCAAATTCATTCCTATAATTGCGCTCAGCGTTCGTCCGCAATGATGGCACAATATCTTTCCAGTTTGTCGAACAGAACGCTCAGTTCTGCGAAAAATAAAAACAAAACTGACGTCGATGTTCACCAGGGTGCAAGACTTGACACATATACGTAATAATAAGAAACGGCATTTGAGTGTAGATAGATGGCAGGAATTATCACATCAAAATCACGAAGCATACCTAAGGTTATATATTGAAATATAAAATGATAAAAACATAAAAAGTCGGCTTACAAACTTATAGGGCGGGCCGCGGGTTGGGCAGCCTTGCTCTATAAGGAAGCAATATAGATACGATTTTAATTGATGAAAAAACGATTTGATTTTGTAACTTTTTTGATCGAGCGAAGAAGCCCTAGTCTTGCGATGTTATTAAGCCGTTTTAATGGCTCTCACGGGATAAATATAGAAATCATATCTTCCTTTAATTTTGTGACCAAACAATCACCTTATTTCAGGTGCTTTATCATCCTAACAGTGGAGTAACTCATCCCATTGGTGAAATCGATACGATCCGTATGGGCCCATACAAAATATTCTGGAAGACAGGTGGTACAGGTGGAACATCTCGCAGTTGTAACGGCAAAGAAGCACCACAAGTATCTCACAACCCACCGCTTGTGTTTAATCTGGAGAAAGATCAAGCCGAAAGCACTCCGATTACCGCGCAGACCGATCCAGATTATCTGAAAATTCTAGAATCAGCCGAAAGCCTGAGATCAAATATTATTGCTGATATTAAAGCAGACAACACATCTAAAGCTGATTATTCAACGTCACCCACAGCTTATCCGTGCTGTGATTCAACAAAATTCATGTGCCGATGTAAAAGAGATGGCTATTTTTAAATAACAGTAGAGACATTCCGAGGACACAATGAACAAGGCTTTAAGTACATTTAGCTTAGCTTCTTGCTGTCATGGGCCAACAAGTAATGCATTATATTTCTGCATATATATTACTTGTATGAGTTTTAGATACTGATAGTGTATAAATTCGCGTTCTTCTTTCGCGTGATCATAATACACAACAAAATTCAAAATGGCTGAATTAATTTCTTTGAAATCACATATTGTATATTGTACATTTTGAGGATTGTGTGAATTTTTAAACAAAACCGCGCTCTAAAATCGTTTTTTTGTGGTCTCGAGCAGGGGTCCGCAACTACGGGGTCGCGACCCAAATTTGGGTCGCGAAGCCCTCCGCTCTGGGTCGCGAAACAATTTAAATTTTTCATAAATATGAGCATCGCGTCTGTTTAGCGTATTTATGTATAACAACTTTATAGATCTCCGATTATAATTATGGATGTTTCCCCGAGTATACACTTCCTTATTTACTGTCGTAACATTGGCCAATCAGCATAAGTGCAAAATTGAAGTAACAATAAACGTTTCAGAAGCGCTCAGATACTTTTGCCATTCAGACAGTCTTTCGTGGTTGTGAATATTATCTCGTTTTGGCGGTTTTCGCGTGTTGTGTGTTAGTTTTTAGTTTTGTTTTGGTAAATATAAGTCTTGAACTCGCAAAACCATTCTTGAAATAAGTACCAATAATTTTGCAATTGGTAGAGTGTAAAGAGGAAGAATTCAAGAGATCAAAGTCGGGTAAACACTCGTTACTAATCAGGGGTCTCAAACTCGCGGCCCGCGGGCCAATTGCGGCCCGCAGGATAATAGCTTGTGGCCCCCGCCTTGGTATAAAAGTTTAATGTGAGTGCGGCCCGCAAGTCATTTAGCTCAGTTAGCATGATTAATGCTTTCAATATAACAGCGCTTCCCAAACTGTGTTCCGCTGAACAGTAATGTTCCGCGAGCATTTTCCGAGTGTTGCGTGGAAAAGGAATAAAAAATGCATCTAAATTGGTCGCCATGGCGATCTGAGAATCATGAAGTTGTTGCCCAACTGACCGTTTAAAATCACGTCACTGTCGGCCTGAAGTGGACTAACTTAGTTAGGATAGGGGTATTTCGTTAACCGTCGGTTTAGCTTTTTGACTGTTAATTTCATTATCAAATTTACAGTAGGCTACTTCTTTTGGTTTTGTTAAAGACAAACAATTAAGTATAAAGAATAAAGGCAAAAGGTCAACCGTTCTTCCTCCATCTCTACCTGGTTTTACTTTGAAATGCTGAAAGTTTGTCGCGCATTTGCAACTCGCCACGGTGAAACCATTGGGAACCGCTACATTGCACCGTTTTTCTTTATCAATTTAACCCTTTCATTTTTTGGTGTTCCGCGAGGTGATATAAAAAATGTAAGTGTTCCCTGGCCGAAAACGGGAAACTCCGTAATATAAGATATAGTCACGCAGGTCAAAAATATATATTTTATCATCTATCCCCTGAAAGGAATATGCGGTGCGGTAACCTACCAGTACCATACCTGTAGGCCTGATATTCGATCGCCTGAAATAATTTAAAAACAAGTGTTCCTTGAATTTTGACGTCACAATCACTAACGCTTAGATTTATCTTGATACATTGTAACCATGTTTCCCATGTGGCGAAACATCACTGCCCATCGGCTAAATTCTTGATTGAAACATCAGCGCAACAGTTATTACAAGATGGAATTTTATAATTTCGCACATCCCTAAACGTGACGTTGGAAGTGAAGTTTCAGTAAACAGAAAGGTTGGTGATGAGCACAGACAATTTCAAAAAACTGGGAAATGCAATATTTCTTTGTTGAGCATAGGAGCATCCCGACATGTTTTATCTGCACAGTTAAAGTTGTAGTGCACAAGGAATACAATTTAAACGAGTTGCTAAGCTTTTATTGTGGAAAACCTGATGCGACCCGGACTCATCCAGACTCTGCCCCAGCGGCCCACAAGTAAATTGAGTTTAAGACCCCTGCGTTACTTAGTTGTTTGCATTGTACTACGTAGACTTTAGGTTTTTAAAGTGCTCCGTACGGAGCCTCAGAACTTAGGGCCTCCGCGAGCTATTCGTTTACTTGAAAACTGTTCTCGACCCACTGCCCTATCTCCATCTACTTACCTGTCCTCGGCCCACTGTCCGACCTCCTTCAACTTTCCTATCCTCGACCCACTGCCCTATCTCACTCAACCTTCCTATCCTCGACCCACTACGCTATCTCCCTATCCTCGACCCACTGCCCTATCTCCCCAACTTTCCCATCCTCGAACCACCGCTCCATCTGCCTCAACCTTTGTCTTCCCGACCCACTGCCCTATCTCCCCCAATCTATCTATTCTCGCCACACTGCCCTATCTGCCACAGCTTACCTATCTTTGACCTACGGTGCTATACTATTCAGTACCTGACCTAACGGCGCTTTGTTCACGACCCGATCGCCACACTGAACCTTACTATCTTGCGACCAACTTCCTTGGTTTATACTGGTGGTGTATGCCAATGAGATGATTCAATCGTACGTCGACAAAGCATGATTGACGGCATTCGTTTATGTAGGCTGGAATCTCAAATGGTAAACAATAACCATAATTGGCAGTTTAAAAATGAGTGACTAATTGGGCTACTGACGGTTTCTTGTTGAGAACGACAGTTTTCTGAATTTTAACAAGCCGTTTTATGCACTTAATAATTGGCCATGTCGTGAGTCTTGTGACAATATGATGCTGATCCGAAAAAAGCAATAGTGCTCTGGTCCGTAAAAAGTATTTTTCTCCAACATTTTATAGTAAAAGCGATGCCAAAGATTACGTACGAACTGCGTCCTTTGCAACTTCATCGAGTTGCAGATAAGATAAGCTCAATTTTGGGACTATACGCTGAATTAAAGGGCAGTTGGCAACGCTAGCTACGACGAAACATTTCATGGCTTAAAAATAGTTTGAAAGGAATTACACTCACTGAGCGACTTATATTTTCGACTGTTTTTGACTTTTCAGCCTTCTCAGTCACGTAAAAAAAATTATATATACATCTATCTGAGTTGGATTAAAAAATGCAAGACATGGCTGAACATCCATCGAAAAAGACCAAGCGTGCAAATATTTGATTATTGGACACGTAGTGGACATAACGATCGTTTCAATATTATGTTGTTGTTGTTCTTGTTCTTGTTGTTCTTGTTCTTTGACACGTTTTTAAAAAGTCGTTTTTCTCTTCGAATACTGGACCAATTGCTTTGAAATTTTCAGTGGTTGAAGATTAATGTTTTCGCTAGAAGGCTATTATTTTTGTTTATTCTTAAATTTTATATGAATCCTATGAGATATGATATTTCATACAAAATTTCGCGGTATTTATTTTTACTCATGGGAACACTGTTTTACACTTATTTCAAGCGGTTTCGCGATCGATTGTCTTGCTCAGTACTACAGCTACTGTAGGTCGGTACTGGTAAGTTGCCATACCGGTGCCGTAACGCAGTGAAATTGACTTATTCCTTCCGCGGTATTACTAATGCTGCAATGCAAGTTTTATAGCCTATCGTATGCGGAACGGAATATCAGACCTACAGGTTCGGTACCGGTACTGGTAGCTCAGTACGTAAGTACGATACTGGTACTGGTGCCGGTGCCGGTGTCTTACCACAATGAAATTACCGTAACTTATTCTTCCACGGTCCTACCAGTGCAGTAATGCAAGCGTTGTAGCACTTGTAGCCTACCATATTTGTTTATTTTGATGAGAGTCTACTGGAAACAACATAAAATTTGAAAGGGAAGAATTGTTCTGTGATCAATTATCTGTCCTAAAGTGTAAATAACATAAAATTTGCAAGGGAACAACTGTTCTGTGATCAATTACCGTATATGGCCTACAGTGTACAGGTAAGATGCTGGCTGACTGCTAACCGGTACTGGTAGCTCAGTACGTAAGTACGATACTGGTACTGGTGCCGGTACCGGTGTCTTACCACAATGAAATTACCGTAACTTATTCTTTCACGGTCCTACCAGTGCAGTAATGCAAGCGTTGTAGCACTTGTAGCCTACTATATTTGTTTATTTTGATGAGAGTCTACTGGAAACAACATAAAATTTGAAAGGGAAGAATTGTTCTGTGATCAATTATCTGTCCTAAAGTGTAAACAACATAAAATTTGCAAGGGAATAACTGTTCTGTGATCAATTACCGTATATGGCCTACAGTGTACAGGTAAGATGCTGCCTGACTGCTAACTCAGTACCGCTTGACACGTTTTTAAAAAGTCGCTTTTCTCTTCGAATACTGGACCAATTGCTTTGAAATTTTTAGTGGTTAAAGATAAAAATTTTCTCCAGAAGGCTATTACTTCTTTTTTCGCTATGACGTCATCAAAATTATGTGACTCTACGTGTCCATATATTTGAGCATAGCTCTCTTGTTTCCTCATCGTTTTGCCTTGCACGGAAATACAGGCGACATTGAATGAGTTTCTGAAAAGGAACTCCTATATGTCGATATTTAACGGCCTGTTAAAATTTTGAAAACAGCGTCTCCAAACCCGATGCCATCAGTAGCCTAATTAGAAGCACATTTTTAAGCCACTAATTATGGTTATCCATTTGACATTCCAGCCTACATTTACGAATGCCGTCAATCACGTTTTGTCGACGTACGATTGAATCATCTCATTGGCATACTCGACCAGTAGGCTATAACACATGGAAGTTGGTCGCAAGATGATAAAGTTCAAATTGACGATCGAACCGTGATTATAGCGCTGTTAGGTTAGGTACTGAGTGGTATAGCGCCGTGGGTCGAAGATAGGTTAGTTGAGGGAGGTAGGACAGTGGGTCGAGGGTGGGAAGTTTGAGGCAGATAGTGCAGCGGATCGAGGATAGAAAAGTTGAGGGAAATAGGGCAAAGAGTCGAGGATAAAAAGGTTGAAGGGAATAGGAAGGTTGGGGGAAATTGGACAGTGGGTC